TGTAATATATATATTTAGCGGTAGGCTGGGGAAATAGTGGTTCAAATGCTAATTTAATGCTATTACTAGTTTTGTTTTTCTTAATATAGGGATTTAAAGCTTTTAAATATTCTACGGGCAGTGTGAAGCTATTATTTAATAGTACGGACTACTTTTTTTAGGATAGTAATATAGTTTTTGCTAATATTAATAGAGTTTAGCGTTAAAGAGTAGATAGTTTGGACTACGGAGATTGAGAGGGTGGGAGCTGGGGGTTGGTAGAATAAAGCGCTGGGTTTGCGAAAAAGAAAGATATTATTAGAGAGTTTTTTATTATTGCGAAGTTGGTTGAGATTTTAGGATTTATTGTGATGCCTGTATTTTTATTACTATTTTAAAAAGATAAAAGTGAATTAAGAGTTGAAATAAGGGGAGAGTTTAGTTTGCGGTCGGTTAGGGAGAGGCGCGCTTAAGTAATTCGCTTTGGCGGGGTAAGATTTACAATATTATTTTGTAATAACGGAGTAGGTGGATTGATGATTAGTGATAATAGCCGACGGCCGTTATTGTAAGTAGTAATATTAGTTGATATATTAGTTACTTTTATTAATTAAAAGTATTTTATAATAAATTAGATAGACGAAATCGTTGTTATTGTTAGTAGTAAAGTAGGTAAATAATACCCTATATTGTATTTAATTATTAAATCGATTGATAAAGATTGTTTAAAATAATATAGTATAGTTTAAATCGAGCGGCTACTATAATCTTTAATTATAATTACTATTTAATAGGGCATTGGGTATATAAATTAACTTTTTATATATACTTCCGGGTATAGGCTATAAACCCGACGTATTAAATTTATAGCCCGTGCATTATTCTATAATTGTAAATTACTTTCTATATTTAAAGGTATTTAACTATAGAGGGTATCCGTCCTTAGAATATTAAGAAAGCTTCTAAATATAGGTTATAAGCCTAATATATTAGATTTATAGCTTATATATTACCCTACGGTCGTAAATTACTAAATTACCGGATACTTTTCCTAATAATACCTTTAGGATCCGTTAATAATATTAAATTTAATTAAAAATATATTTCTAAATACTTCTTTCTTTACGTCCCGCCTTAAGGTCGCCCTTATACAAAATTAACTTATAGGCTTTAAAATATCTCCTAGAGGTACTTAAGTATACTACCGTCTCGCTCTTATTTATATAATATATTAAACCTAAAATGTAGGATTGGATTAAAAAAACGGCCGTCGAGACTATTACTTCCAATTAGGCAGCGTAAAGCCTTTTTAGAATACCGCATCGTTAATAGTATTACAAAATAATAGGATAGAGTTATTATTAACCCTAATAATAAAGGCCTCTAATTCCAATTAATTAACTATTAATATAATATATTAACGCCTCGTACAAACTCTTACAGCATAACTTTTACTAGGAAGGGATATATAATAATGTAAGGCTTTTCTATAAAAGTTGCCTCCCCTCTATAAAGATTAAGTTATTTAAATGCGGTTTTATTAGTTATTAATCTTTTAGAATCCGAGAACCGAATTAGTACGAATTATTATAACTACTATTGTTACTTCCTATATTGAGGAGTACTTTAATTATATTATTCTTAAAAAGGTATTACAGCTAGTAGGGGAGGATATAGAAAAAAAAAGATAATTAAATATAATATTAAGAATAATACCGTAACGGAAAATTTACTAATATTACTTCAGTCTTTACTAATCTAAATACTAGAAGTTATACCTATTAAATTGGATACTATTTATCGTATCGTTAAATGTTCTTTTATTAAAAAATAACTTACCGCCTTATACGAATAGGAATTTAGCCTAAAGTGAAGGTAAACTTAGAATTAAGACCGAATACCTAATTGCTTTATATAACCTACATTTACTCACTAATACCCTGCGCTACCTTTTCTACCTTCTCCATCTTCTACTTTTCTAATATTATAATAATTTATAATAATTTATAACCCTTAATTTCAATTATATAATTAAAAAGCTATAATAGTAAGATTATTTTTGTATAAATATCTCTTCTCCTCTCTTTTTTACTTTTATATATAAGTATACTCTATAAGACCTACCTCCTTTTATTTACCTCAACTTTATTTTTATCGTCTTTATTCTATAAAAATTCCCTTTTTATACTTACCTTAATATTAAAATATTTAGTAACGAAAACAATACTACCGTACCTACCCCTAAATATATACTACTCATACTATAACTACCTATTTATAGAAATTATTAAGAAGTACCCCAACTTTACTATAGAAGAGTTTGAGAAAGAGTTCAAAATTAAAGTTATTAAGCTCTATAATTTTAAATACCGCTACTAACCGTTTTCCCTACGAAGGATCTACTTCTAAAGATTATATAGATTGTTTCTAGTTTTTTAAAATTCGAGAAGCGAATTAGTATAAAAGTAGTTAAAGAAATTCGAGGATTATTAAAAGATCTTTAAATATTAGAGGAGTTACCTTATATTAGATAGGAAATAATTATTAATATTCGAAGATATTAAATATTTATTTCTACTTTAGACGAAAAGGATTAAAATATAGGATTAAAAGGTTAAATTTTTTATTAGAGACGATTTGCCCTTGCGATAAAGCTTCTACCTATTTTAAGGACCTCCCTCTTTAAAAGGGCGCTATAAATATTCTACTACTCCCCTCCCTATATTTAGAGTAGGTAATTATTTAGTAGAACTAAATCTCCTCTACAATTTAAAATTATTAGGATATAGGAGCTATACTTCTAGCCGGGAGAGTAAAATAATATTATATACGGCCGGTAATATATTTATAGGAGCCGGTAGTATTTAACGAGGAATAACGAATATTAGAATTTATTTAAATTTTATATTTATAATTAGGAATATACGGTAGCAACTCTTAATACTAATTTCTAAGGTCCAAATACTACTATTTACGATATCAATATATATAATTTTATTATTAATAAAGAAATTCGATATTATATCGATATTTTATACTTATTATTTCCTTATTAAATATAGTCTCCGGCTTATATACGACCCGGCTAGAATAACGAAAAGAATTTCGCAATTCTCTTCTCTTATACCTACCTAATTAAAAAAATTAAGCTTCGCCTCTTTACTATCGAATAGACGTTTAATATTTTATACCTTCGGTTTGATAATTTCTTTTAGAGCTTCGTCTATAAATTTATTAATTAGGGCTATTTTATCCGATAGAAAGTAGTGAACTTCTTTTACTATAGCCTACTTTAACCTTGGAGGAATTTAATAATAATTAATATTAGTCTAGGGGAGTTACTAATTTATAATAATAGTCTTAAACCTATAATTATAGCCCGGTAGGCCTTCGTAGCTATTGATAAGAAAAGAAGGAGATACCCTTTATATTAACCCTAGAGGTATTTATAAGTAACCTTTCCTAATGTATAAAGTACTTTATATTTTATTTAGGACGGCGATAAGCTACTTCCCTATACAGTTATATATAATATTACCGAGAATTACTACGAATTTAATTTATATTAATTTACTTCCTAGGATTATATTCTCTTATAAAGCTTTGTAATATATTATAAATTCGCCGGAAATTAAGTATATTAGTAAATAGATTGGAAATATCTTTTTTAAATTGTTATATAGGTAGAGGTAGGTACCTAATGTATTTATTTATAGTCCTTGAAAGAATTAGGAATAGGACGATAGAGGATTTTCCTACAATTCTAGTTGGCTATACAATTCTTCGGTAGTATAGTATTATAAATCGGATAGTTTATAAATAGAAGAGGCGATATTAGATTAGGTATTATTGGGCATAGTATAGATAGGTAGGATTAACCTTATATTCGGAAATTCTTTATATTATTAGGAGAAGTTAGGGATAGTCTCCGCGTCCGAATTAGGAGGAATTTAATTTATCTTATAATTAATGATAATTATTAAAATAGTTATAGGAAGGTAGTACTTAAGTATTACGGATATTGAACTATATATTCTAATATATAATATTGTAAGTACCCTAAAAATCTATCCTAATATCGGGCCCTAAAACCTCCTAAATATTAATTTTAAACTACTAGTATTTTACTACGTATAATATAATTCTATTCCTATAGGAGAAATATCGTTTATAAATAAAGGTTTTATTGTATTCCTACGTATATTGGATATTATAATAATACCTAATATTATTTCTATAGTCTTTAAGATCCCTACGAATTTTAAACCTATCCTAATTACTATATTGTATAGGAAAAACACTTAAATTAAAATAAAGTAGAAATAAAATTTAGACCCTACGATTTTACCCCTATTAGAATTAGAGGAGGCCGAGAATATTATATTTTACTTATATAGGAGTTAAGCCTTACTCCGTTCGGAATAAAATCTATATTTACTAACTACCGAGAAGCTCTTCGATATCCGTTGTGTATTTGTGTATAAAGTTTTTAATTTAGTCCAATATTTAACGTATACCGCTAGTATATATTTTATTACCAATTAATTTCTACGCTTTTAAATTATTATTTTATATATTAAAGTACTGGACTATTTTATAAGCCTTCTAATTAAAAGTATATAACGTTTTAATATCTTTAAATTTAAAGGTATATGGCGATTTTATAGTAAAGTGGATACGGGGTATTCATTATATATAACCGTAAATAATATATATAAATTCAGTAATATCGGGCCTATTAATTAAATTATTACCGGATATATTATTAGTATTTTAATATTTATTAACGGCGGGTATACTATTTTAATTTTAATCGTTTATTTTAATCCGCTTTAATACCCGTAGGGAGGGTGATTTAGGTTACGAGGGGGACCGGTCCTACTTATAAATTTCTTTAATATAGAAAGGCGGAGGAGTGAAATCGTTAGTTAGGTTAATAAAGGGCTGGCTTTATATACCTCTCTAGTCTACTTATATTTGGCAAAAATATATCTCGCTATTAATATCCTTAATAGTTCGCCCTACTTACTTATAAGGAATTGTATCTTCTTATTTATAATATCCTTTATAAATTCGGCCTTAATTTCGTTACCCTTAAAGGCTACTTCTATTTTCTATTTATTCTATTATGCAATTACGTTGGCCTTATCGATATATCGCTTAATTTTTACCTTCGAATCCCTAATTATATATTTTACAAACTATTAAACGAGCAGTTTAACTTCTACCGCTATATTATTTATATATTTAAATACCTCCGTATAAATAATTAAATTTAAGTTATAATCGATGAAGTAGGGGCTGATAATAGGAATATAACTATTTAGCGTAATTTAATTTACTTTTAAGCTTCTTCGAAATTACTATTAATAAATTATATTAAAAAAGATAGTAGTTTAGAATAAAAATATCCAATCCTCTTCGCCCAATTAGAATAATACCTACGTAGCGATCCCTTAGGGGGCCTTAACTATTTAAGAAAAGCGATTAAAATTGTAGGAGAATAGTTTTTTTAATATTTTATACTTAGTAAGAATCTTAAAATACCTACAGTCTAATTAAATCTAATATACCTTTATTTTTGAAGTTTAAGTTAGGTATAAATTTGTAAATATATTAGAGAATATTAATAAGTACATTTTATTTTAAAGGGAATTAATATAAGCGGTACTAATTTTTTATAATATTTATTCTTCTATTTAATTATAAATTATACTATATAAGGTTAGAAGGTAACTCGTCCTTTATTAGGCTGCGTTTATTCTTGTATAATTACTATATAAACCGTTTTATACGGCTATTTCTATACTATAATTGTATAAAATAGTAATTATTTAGTTAATTGCCGTATAGAAATACAATTTATAACCCCCTTATTCAGGTTAGGGTTATATATAATTAGAAAACCGTATAAATTTAATATCACCGTATAAAATTATTAAAATATAGACTAGTCCTAAAGCGCCGTAATATACTATATATTTATATTCTATAATGCCCTATATTCTAGGGATTTAATACTTGTATATTTATAATTCCTTATAAGAATTCTATTCCTTATTTTAATAATGAGTTATCCTTTTTCACCCGTATAAGGGGGGTTTAAATATTTATATAATATATATAAAAGGTGGTCCGAATTTTACCATATAAAACTATACGGTAACCTCTTCTATATAGTAACCGTACGAGAATAAATGTAATTTAAAATATTTAAGTATACCTATAAAGGGTTCCTTTCCGAATAAAGGCGTTGTACTAATATATACTCTATTTATAATATTATATTATAAATAAGCGTTTTACTAATTCCAATTTTACTTGTAAATATAGCACTTTTAAGAGGAGAGTATAATATCCGATAAATTATATAAGCGTCTAGTAAAGAGTTAATATAAGATAGATTTAATAGTAAGTTTAGCAATCTGCGATTGTGGGGTAATATACGGGCTATAAATTTAATACATTAGGTTTATAGCTTGTATTCTAAAAGTCTATTTAATATTTTAAAGGCGGGTACCTATTATAATTAATTAGATATAGAAAGTAATGTAGGGTGGTATACGGGTTATAATAAGTACGTACTATTATTAAACCCGTATTTAATATATATTTAATTCTTAATTATTTTAATTTCTATATATTTATAAATTACCCTTAGTTTAATTATTAGTTGGGTATTATTAATTTATAAAGAATAGGATATAAAATTAGAATTACATTGATAATAAATTAGGTAGGGTTAATATATATACGATTTACGCTGTTGAATTAATATAATCTTTCCTTAGGTAGAGCTTTATATATTTAACGAAGATAGTGAAACATTTAAGATTATTTTTTTATTATTTATTAAGGTCTATTTTAATACTTTTTAATTATAACTTCTTTTATTAAAATTAATTTTTTAAGTAAATAGTCGAATAATGAAAATTCTACTTTAATTATTCTTCCTAGTAAGATAAAAGAGGGAAAGAGGAAACTCAATTTTATAAAAGTATTATATTTTTTCTATATTTAATATTTTTGTATTAGAAAAAAAACTGAAATTAATCAAGGAAAATAACTTCTTTGTAAATATTCTTTAAATATTTTAGTTTTACGAACTTTTTTTTGTTAAAGTTTTCTTTTTGCTTATAAAACTTTCTTTTTAATAACCTCTTTTAGTAAGATACTATTTCTTTTTCTTACTTTTTTTCCCTTTTGAAATTCTACTATTCTAGCTTATCTTTATTTATTTATTTGCATTTTTTATCTTCAATTGTTTTTTATTTTTTCTCTTGTTTTTTTTTCTTTTTTCTTTATTCCGTTTTTTTTTTTATTTTTTTTCCTTTTTTTCTTTCCGCTACATTTTCAATTTTTTCACCTAGTAATATATTTTATTTTATTATTTTATTTAATTTCTATATTATTAATTTACATCGATATTATAGATTCTATTTTTCTAAAATAAAATTTTAGCCTATAAATAGGATCGAATTTACAGTTTAAATAAATAAATTACTAAATTTAAATTACTAAGCCCGTTGAGCTACCCGCTCGATTGATAGTTAGGCCTTTTTTTTTTTATATATAGGTAGTAATGATTTCTTACTTTTTAATTTTCTTAAGGACTACTTATTAGGAAGATTTATAAAAAATATTAAAATAATTAGAAAAAAGCTGCGAAACTTTTGTAATTAGTCCCAATTTAATATATATATTAGTTGAGGAGCAATTCCTATTGCAATATCGGAAGATAGTTTTTTAGTTGAATATACGGGCCTTGAATTTTACTAAACTCTCAGAATCTCCTAATTGGGTAGAAAGTAGGCCCCCGGCTCTATAATTAATAGTATTAGACCGCTTTAAATAGAAATATTTATTTCTTCCTTACGGAATTTTTAAAATATTAATTAAAATTTAAAGAAATAAGCGTTTTAATAAAGGTAGGGTGTTTGCTTTTCGCGGCCGGATTTATATAAAATTATATCTTTACTACCTAAATACGAACGTACGGACTAAAAAGTCCCTTTTCGCTTATAAAAGAATTTTTAGTATTATTTAAGTTTTATGCTTTTTTTATTAGTAAATTCCTTAATATCCCTTTCTCCGCGTTCCTTTACGTTCGTATTATTTTCGAATTATATCTTAATATTTTTACTATTATAGGATAAGGCGATATTAAATATGTGGGGTAAAGTATAATTTATATAATTATATAAGGAAGATGGGGAATTATAGAATTTGTATATGGCGGTTCGTTCTATATAGACGAGGATGAGCCGTATTTTTAGTATATGTGGCTAGAGCCTCCGGGAGTGTATGGCTAATTAGGGGGCTCGTATTAGCCCGATAGCTACTTAGTACTTTGTTAAGGAGAACTTTAGTAAGAAGGGCGCTGCTACGGCGTACTTTCGGCCTCCCGAGGGCTTTATTTAGTATAATACCTATATTTATAGTCTATATTGTATTCTTCCTAAGATTTTTTAAGATATAAGTTCCTTTAAGGATATAAATATATGTAAAATCCTTGTAAGTCTCTGTTCTGTTGTTATAATATTATTATATTTAACCCTTTAAAATAGTTCGTTCTAATTAGCCTTATTGTGAATATAGAGCGGCGAAGAAGATTAAAGAGTACCTTAGCGGCGAACTTATTCCTTTAGTTCTTACCCTTATTGAATCCACTATAATACGAATATATAAATAGAATAACCGTGAAATTTAGATAGTATTAATAATTCTTTTATAGGTGTAAAGGATGGTTTCGACCCGTACGTTGTATATGTATTATATATAAAGGGATAAGGCCTAAATATTTATTTACTGAAGCGAGAAACTTTGAGTAGTAATAAGCGTTCTCTTATAGATTATTATTTTTTAAATATTAATTATTTTTTAAGCTATTATAAAATAAAGATATAGGGGTATAGTAAAGGGTATAGCTTCTATATTTTAATAGACTTCTAAGGATTAGGTATTAAAGTAAAGGCTACTTAGTATTGGAATTTGGAAAGTCTTTTGGAATAATTTTATAAAAAATTGGTTACGAATAGGAATTAAATAAATATTACGAATAAGAATAGAATTGAAAATTATTTTATTATCCGTTTACTACCTCTATAAAACGAATTAGTTATTTTTGAATTATATAGTTAATTCTTTCTATTAATAAAGGTCGTAGAGGGGGGGGGGGGGGGGGGGGGAGAAGAAAGGGAGGGTAAAGAGGAAGGGAGGTATTATAATAGTAAAATAAGGAGGATGTTTAGCTTTAAAGGGGGGTTTTAAAGGTAATTTCAGATTTTAGAATAGATAATTAGCCTAGCCTTATTATAAGATTTAGTACTATTAATTAAAGGAAACTTTTAATTAATTAAATTTAGATAAGAAATAGTAAAAACTAAATACCCCTATAATAAATAACCTTTTAGAAGGCTACTATAAGGGTTTTAATTATAAATACCTCTACTTTAGGTAGAACTTTAATTTCAAAGTCCGGAGCGTCCTCCGGCGTTGGAGGGTATTAAAGCATTAAAGGCGTACAATATTCTTAGGCTAAACTACTAAAAAATAGAAGAATATTTTATTCGTTAAATAGAATTTCTAAAAGTAATATATATTTATATAATATATATTACAATTACCTATAATAGGAGGGGAGGGGGCGGGAATAATTAAGGCTACTTAAAAATATTTATAACCTTTAACTACATAAAATTATTTAAACTAAAAAGAGTTATTCTAATTAGAATCGAACTAGTAATTATAAGAAGGAGAGTAACAATAGAAATTAGGTATTAAACTACTAACCCAATAATTAATAGCGAGGGTCGTTATTTCTATTAATATAGGGAAATAAGGAGGAAGGGGGGTTAGGGGAAGGGTTAGGTTAATAAGAAAAAATAATTCTCAAATTTCAATTACCTAAAGTACAAAGCAATTTAGCCAATAAAAGCCCTTCCTTAAATAATAGTACTAAGGAACTTATAGTACTAGATTTTATAATAAGGCTTATAAAGATTGCAAGTATTGAGCCCTACTAGCAAAGCTTAATATACTAATAGTTTTCCGCTATAGTAGGACTTTAAAACTCTAAAAAATTTCGGACCCAACCCCAATACCCGACCCAGCTCCAAAACCGCGGAAACTACCTTAGGTACCTACTACTCTTACTACTACTACTACTACTACTACTATTACTACTACTACTATTACTACT